TTTATAAAAATAATAATTAAGTATTCTGTTAGAACTTAATGATTATCCTAATTATATTTTAGATTTTTTATATTTAAAATGAGATGTTTATCATGTATTTGATTGTGTTTATCTGCAGTTAGTTACACGAATTCAGATATGAGATGAATTCGGATAGAGATGAACGGGTTTAAGAGTTTTTAAGAGTTTTAGCCAAATAGTTTATAAGATAGTATAGATATATATTAAGGTTAGATTATATTTGATTTTTTTTTATAATTATCTAGTCATAACTCATATATAATTAAACTTGAAAAGTATTTAAATTTAAAAGATATTTATGATCAATAAGAATTGTTTCTATATATAGATTTGTAATTTCCTTTATTAATAAGAATCTTTTTTGACCCACCAATCAAAAACTTTTTGAGAAGGCCATCTTTTTCGTCTATATAGTCTGGCCCTAACGAGTAACGGCCTCCTCTCATGATTGTGACCTTCTGCAGTTGTCAAGACTCGCGGTTACTCAACCCTCTCCCCACTGCCCTCTCGAGCCACAGTGTCAAGACTCGCGGTTACTCAACCCTCTGCCCACTGCCCTCTCGAGCCACGGCCACAACCTCTGTCCACTGTGACTCTAACACCTCCTCAGGTTTTTTTTTATGTTTAAATGTTTGAATCTTTATTTTGTTAATTGATTATCTCGTTCTTGTTGATTTCTAGACTCTTAATCCGCCTCTGATTTTGTGTGCTTAATTGAAGTAGTTGTTGTCTGTCCCATATTATAAACATCAATGTTCGATTCTTATGGTTCACTGTGAGCTTCAAACTTAAAACCGAATTTTCTATACATACATTAATACATATAGAGTTTGTTTCATATTAAGAAGGGATTTGGACCTTTTAATATAAGTTTAAGAAGGGATTTGGACCTTTTAATTGGTGTTGATTTGATGGTTCATATTAACTTCCACAATAACACATGAATTAGCCGGGTATTTAAAATATCTACCAAATGTTATTTTTTAAAGGACGACAAATATTAATTTTTATGACAATTAATTATTACTTACGTTTATTAAATGCATTTTCTTTATATTATGTGTTTAAACTCATACTATTATTGCCTATTTTTTATATAACTTCAATCTCTATTATGAGTTGCATTCTAAAAATTGATCGATATCCTCAACCGATTTGTGCGATTATGAATTGATTATCGGGGATTGGAAACTTTAGAATATTGAATGTGTAACCTTCCATCAACAATTACCAACATTATTGCCACCGTTTAATCCCTAGCCATAGATCAAAAGTTAAACGACTATGATCTGGCTGTAAAAGTTGTAGGAATGTAAATGATTATATAATAACACCCATATATATATATATATAGGGGCCTATTCAAGGGAGAACTGAGTTRTTTGTGGTAACTGTGAGAACCAATATTAACCACAAATCAATAGATAAATTAGGAAATTTATAAATTTGGTAATTTTAAATTAAAATCTTAATGCAAGGATATTTTTGGTATTTTAAAACTCTCATCTCTTCTCTCT